TGCAAGAATCACAAAACTCAAATATTAAAATACATTACTTTCCTTTTTTGATCTAATGAAGTATATACAAAAATAAATTCATCCTTTAGCATATGCTGTGATTTCAGTTAGTAATTGATGAATCTATCGCTGTTTAATCTGCTAAGCTCAGCAGTATACAGTAACCATGGGTGGCAGAAAGAGGACTTCAGAGCACTAACTGCCTGCAAATTATTGAAGGATAGCCCAAGAAAGATTCAACTGAGTGTGAGTGATTGATGAAGAGTACCTGAAACAAAATTCCATAGCAGTCATGAAATTAATAAAGGAAAACTCATAAAATCACATTTTAAGGGAATGTCCTTGGGGTTAGAATACCAAAGAATGCCATTTTGTTTACCTGTCATTCATTGTCACTTAGGATGGCATTGAAAATAACTGGCATAATATGATTAGGTAAAGAAAGAGGGTACGAGTTTTTTGTTAGATATATGTCTTTTAAAAGTACAAGTACCATTACAACATAGTTTAAATTTCTGTTGGAATTCGAGATATTTTTTATCCAAACTAATGAATTTTTGCCAATGCTGGGTAAGTTTCTTGGTGATTTTTTCTGCGTTTAATCTTGGAGATTAAGTACAAATTAAAGAGCAATTTATCTCAAATTTACTTGCAAAAAATGATATGAATAAGAATAACATGAGACACAGTATGTAATTTATAAAGTATATCCACAGATAGTTGCTAATTTCTTTCCAAAGATATATTTATGATGATAAAACTAATATATGTGTCTTAGTCACATATTTTTATACATACCCGAATAGAAAAGAAAACAATTTTCTTCTTATTACTCAAAACTCCATGACTTTATTTTGGAAGAAAAATAAGTAAATGCTTATGTTCCACAGATATTTTCTTATTTCACCAACACAGTATAAAGAAAATAAATAACTATTAACATAACAACATGAGTAGCAGAGACATTGAGAAAAGAAAACTTTCTAAATGAGGCACATCATTTAGATCTGGTAAAAATTATGCTAATATCTGTAGCTCCACCTATTGTCTTCCTCAGTTCACTGGTAGTCATTTAGAAGGTACATAGGGCTGGGTATAGTGGCTCACACCTCGAATCCCAGCGTCTTGAAAGAATTTGAGACCAGTCTGGCCAACAAAGTGAGACCCAGTCCCTACAAAAGCACAAAAAAAAATAAAATGAGCTGGGCCTGGTGGTGAGTGCCTGTAGTCCTAGCTATGGGAGGCTTAGGTAGGAGGATTGCGTGAACCAAGGAATTTGAGACTATAGTGTGCCAGGATTGTGCCCCTGCATTCCAGTCTGGGCAAGAGTGACACATCATCAAGAAGGAAGGAACAATGGAAGAAAAGAAGGGAGGAAGGACGGAAGGAAGGGAGGGAAGAAAGGAGGGAGGGAGGGAGGGGAGAAGGGAGGGAGGGAGGGGAGAAAGGAGGGAGGGAGGGAGGGAGGGGAGAAAGGAGGGAGGGAGGGAGGGGAGAAAGGAGGGAGGGAGGGAGGGAGGGGAGAAAGGAGGGAGGGAGGGAGGGGAGAAAGGAGGGAGGGAGGGGAGAAGGGAGGGAGGGAGGGAGGAGAGAAAGGAGAAAGGGAGGGAGGGGAGAAGGGAGGGAGGGAGGGAGGAGAGAAAGGAGGGAGGGAGGGAGGGGAGAAGGGAGGGAGGGAGGGGAGAAAGGAGGGAGGGAGGGAGGGGAGAAGGGAGGGAGGGAGGGAGGGGACAAGGGAGGGAGGGAGGGGAGAAAGGAGGGAGGGAGGGAGGGGAGAAAGGAGGGAGGGAGGGAGGGAGGAAGGAAGGAAGGGAAAAATACTTGCAATTCCTCATTAGGCATTGTAGGGGACTGTTTAATAGGCTCTATGGTACATATGCTCTAAATTGAGGATGAAGTAGGCTTGAATCTTAAAATATCACAGTCAAAACATGGTTATTTCTTGTGTTAAGAAAACAGAGTTGATGATCATAACTCAAAGATTTTGAAGAGCAGTGACACACATCAGCTCTATACCTGTGCACTGCCAAACAGATTTGGAAATTCCTCCCCCAATCATGAAATTCCGCCTTCCAACGATGTTGGAGATGAGAACGTTGTTGGAAATATCTCCATATATGCTCTGTTATTAGCATTTTCTTCTGTGATTATATCCCTAAGATTCTAAAACTTTTTTTTTAATCTCACACAACTTGTTTTCCTTGAGAAAAGAAGAGGAAAAACGTCTTGACTGGTTCACATCAACTGTGAAAATATCACTTTTCTTTTATTTGAGGCTCCTCTAAGGTTAACTTGACCACTTCATAATTTTACGTATTTGTGTTTTTTTTTCTGATATTTGAATATACTGTGAGAGCATAGACGTGTTTTTTGTTTCTTTCTCAAGAAAAGAAACATAAAACTGTTTTTTCTAAGTGGAATCGTTATTTGTTTTTCCTAAAAAAAATGCACCGGGTAACAACTCCTGACAATCTCTCTCCAGTGTGAGGGAGCAGTGAGTCACAATCTCTCTAGATTTTCACTATTATGTTTTTTTTTTTTTTTTTTTTTTTTTTTTTTATTATGACAGTAAAACCTTTGTCCCAGAACATTTCAGTCAGGATATACTGAAACAAATAAATTTGACAGGGGGATACGTAGAAGAGACAGGAGCACACCCGGGCACCTGCCTGACTGGGCTTAGCACGGAGCCAGGAAAAGCTCTCCAACGTGGAAAAGAGTGAGTAAGTGAGAGCCCTCTAGGGGGTTCTTACCCTCCCCAGGGACAGATGCAGGACTGGGAATGGGAGAATCCCCCTTCCCCTGCACCTTCTCACTGAGCCTCTAGACTGAGGCAGAGGACCATGCGGACATTTTGCAGGGGGTGAATTTTAAGTCCAAAGGGATCTCTAAAAGCCTCGGGCCCCAGGGCAACAATCATTGGTGCCATAGCCCCAGTAGAGGCCACAGCCACAGTGCCTGAAAGCAGCAAGATTGCTCTACCCCCTACTCACCGGACAGAGCTCAGAGTCAGCTTCCAGCCTAGCGATTCCACTTTTGCGTGAACTCGGCCAGTGGCTGCAGCCTCCTCGTGTCCCAGGAAGCACTCAGATGGTAGGTCAGGCAACCCCACCAACCCCCGCCGCTAGTAGCCAAACATTCAGACAGCAGAATAGGGCAGATGTGGCAAAGATATGGCCTGTCTTCCAACTGCAACCCCTGCCTAAAGGAGCCTTGTGACCCAGAGCACCCAGCAAAAGAAGGTACTGGTACAAAAACAGACATCTAGACCGATGGAACGGAATAGAGATCTCAGAAGTAATGCCGCACACTTACGACCATCTGCTATTTGACAAAGTAGACAAAAAACGAGCAATGGGAAAGGACTCGAAATTTAATAAATAGTGCTGAGATAACTGGCTAGCAGTATGCTAAAGACTGAAGCTGGAACCCTTCTTTATGTCATATAAAAAGATCACTCAAGATGGATTAAGACTTAAACGTAAATCCTAAAATAATAAAAACACTGAAAGAAACCTAGGAAATACCATTCTGGATACAAACTCTAGCAAACATCTCCTAATGGTGATGCCAAAGGCAAATGCCACAAAAAGAAACATTGACAAATAGAAACTAATTAAACTAAAGAACTTCTGCACAGTGACAGCAACTATCAACAGACTAAATATACCTACTCAATGGGAGGCAATATCTGCAAACCATGCATGCAACAAAGGTGTAATATTCTGAATCTGTTAGGAACTTAAATTAATAGACAAAAACAAGCCCAATACACAGTAAGCAAAGGATATGAACAGATACTTTTCAAAAAAAGACATACATGTGGTCAACACGGAAAACATGCTGAACATCACTAATCATTAGAAAAATGCAGATTAAAACTTTCATTTCTCAAGTGAGATACCCTCTCATGCCACTAAGAATGCAAATCAAAACTTGCATTTGTCAATGAGATACCTTCTTGTGCCACTAAGAATGGCTATTATTAAAAAGTCAAAAAATAACAGATGCTGGTGAATTTGCAGAGTAAGAAGATGCTTTAAATGTGGCTGCTGGAAATTAGTTTAGCTGTTTTGAAAAGCTGTGTGGTGATTTCTCAGAAAACTTAAAACAAAACTACCATTTGACTCAACAATCCCGTTATTGAGTACATAACCAAAGGAACAGAAATTTTTCCACCATAAAGACACATGCACCTGTATGTTCTTCACAGTACTATTCACAATAGCAAAGATATGAAACCAACCTAACTGCCCATCAATATAGAGTGGATAAAGAAAATGTGGTACATATATACCATGGAATAGGCAGCTATAAAAAGAATGTGATCTTGGGAAGGGCATGGTGGCTCAAGCCTGTAATCCCAGCATTTGGGAGGCAGAGGAGGGGGGATCACGAGGTCAAGAGATCGAGACCATCCTGGTCAACATGGTGAAACCCCGTCTCTACTAAAAATACAAAAAATTAGCTGGGCATGGTGGTGCGTGCCTACAGTCCCAGCTGCTCAGGAGGCTGAGGCAGGAGAATTGCCCGGACCCAGGAGGCGGAGGTTGCGGTGAGCCGAGATCGCGCCATTGCACTCCAGCCTGGGTAACAAGAGCGAAACTCCGCCTCAAAAAAAAAAAAAAAGAATGTAGTCTTGCCGTTTGCAACAATATGAAAAAATCAAGAGGCCATTTTCCTAAGTGAGCTAACATAAGAACAGAAATCCAAATGCCACGTATTTTCACTTTTAAGTGTTAGCTAACTGTTGAGTATATATGAACGCAAAAAAAAAGAACAAGGACCTGTATGAGGTGGAAGTTGGGGAGAAGGAGAGCACCAAAAAACTATCAGGTAGTATGCGTATTACCTGAGCTACAAAATAATCTGTATACCACACCCCTTGACACTCAATTCAACTATATAACAAAGATGCTCATGTACGCTTGAATCCCAAATAAAAGTTAAGAACAGCATCAAACAAAATAAATGCTCCAAGAACTATGGCTGTAACTCACCTGTGCTTCCTGATCTACTTTTCTGTCTTGCCATGTTATATCTGTCACTTTTTCTCTCTGCTGTCTGAAGTCATTGGGGCATAAAAATTCTTTTCTGCTGTTAATGTTGAATTCACAATGGCAGCAGGACCACAAATAACCACTTAAGTACCAGTGCAGCTGTTTTCTCTTGATGTTCAGCATGCTGAAACAGAATAGTAAATTGTCTTTCATAGGTGGTGAATACATCAACACCAACAGTGTTGATACATCAACATTCAGTGTGCCAAATATTTGTTTTCCCTCCCCTTTTATTTTATTTTATTGGATATTTTATTTTATTCGTAAATATTTTTTACATTGTGCCCATCAGGACTCATGGGGAGGACAATCTTGGGAATAGTAAAAACATTCCGCCATTTAGAATCACCCTTCTCTCCAATGCTGACACAATAAATATGAATCAAATTTGTGAGACTCTACCAAATTTTTCCTTCCAGCTAATTGCTTCTCAGGAGGTTCCTTACATCTTCTTGCCTGGGCAAGCTTGATTTCTAGGATGAGCACAAGGTTGTTTTTAACTTGGATTTCTGCTGCTCTGAGTTATGCTGGTCAATTCCCTCGACCACAACAAGAAAAACGATGTAAAAAACAGTTTAAAACAAGAAACCATAGGGTATATCTGTTGAATACTGCAGTGTTGACACAAACGTAGTGTCACTACTCTGTTTTCCTTTTATAACCAGAACCACTGTTCCAAGATGGTGCTTTAAAGATACACTACTATTTATTTTCTGTGAATTAATATTGACTTCCTTTTGCGCTTTTGTGCCACTGAAAGAGAAGAGGAAAGGAGAGAAAAATATTGTTGTAGTTACCGTGCTTCATAAATGAGTCTATTGGCAGATGTGCTTATATATATGTGTGTATGTGTTTATTTAAAGCAATATCAGGTATTCTTGAATGGAAAATTAGAAAATGGAATAGGCAAGTAGATAATACTATAGTTAAAAAAAAAAAAAACTCTGTTCTTTAGGCTATATTATCTTAACAATGTTAAACAAAAGTTATGTTCACTATTCCCTTATTGAATGTGTGCATTCTCCCCAGAAAATCAATGAATATTATCATTGCAACAGCAAATTTAAAATAGGAAAAACAAAGTCAATGCACTGCTGCCATTTACACTTGTACATTTATTCCACGCTTTCTGGCCTGGATTTGCTCTGTTAATTGTCAACCATGTTCAGTTCCTCTCATGCTAATCATTGGTTTTTGGCTTTTTTAATGTAAACTTAAGTTTTATTCATTTCTTTTTGTCCTATAGACAAATTAAAAAGTCAAAATAAACTAAGTTCTACAATCTTATGTTTCTTCTTTCCTTAGGACATAACATTTATCTCCAACTGAGAGATTCCTGTTTTTCTAATAACTGCATAACAATTGATTCTCCATCCCATATTAATAGCATTAAATTGTTTACTTTGAACTTGCCACGATTAAATGTCATAGTAATTTTTCACCATATCCCCATTCTTTTTGATACTCAAATTTGCATTATTTCTGACTACTATGAAATCACCTAATTGTTGACAAAGTACTAGATATCATATTGCTTATTTGCAATAATAATTTTCATATTTAAAATTTTTGTTTAAATAAATGTATTGTGTAGTACCCTAGCTTAACGGTCTTCTTCCTGTTTTGAACTCTAACCACCATGTGGGGTTCTAGGAAAGACCAAGGATGTAGCCTAGACTTCCGCACTTGCCAGGCTGTAATAAGGTGGCCCAAACCACTTACTGTAGAGATTTTGCTAGAAGGTGAAGTAGAGAGCTGGGACTTTCATTCCCATTAAGCTGTAATAAGCCCCCAAGGAACTAGCAACAACCACATGGGAAGCTTAAATTTCTACTGTATCTGATAATAATGAGGTATAGTTCCCTCTTTCTCTGTGGTCATGTCTGAGAGAGTCTATTGGAGGTTTCCTCACCACCGCTAGATAGTAAAATGGCTACTTCGCCTTCCCACCAACGGAGGCCATGGGAAATTGGAATTTCTCCCACAATAGAAGAAAGGTTTTCTATGCCAATTATCAAATATCAAACAAACATGACATTTTTTGCCCTTATTTTCAACATCTGTAAGTAAGACTTAGTAGTTATATTTTTAATTAATGTTTAAAACTCAACAACAACAACAACAAAAAAAAAACCACACAGGAATACTAAATTCATTCAGAAATACAGAAGTACTTCAGCCATTGTAATAGGGAACTGATGGAAAGAAGAAAAAAAAAAGAAGAACGAATGGAGGGAAAGAAGGAAAGAGAAGGAGAGAGAATAAAAGGGAAGGGAAAGAAAAGAAAGAAGAAAGGAAGAAAAAAAGGTTTGCAGAACAATTTGGATACGCTCGTTTGGATTGTAAAGAAAAGACTAAATCACGAAAACAATGAGACGGGACAAAATGAGAATAAGTTCTTGTGGAAGTGAAAGCCAAAATGAGATTTACTGTCTATTGGCCTAATGAAATAGCAATAAATGCAGATATTGTAGAAATTGTTAACCATATTGCAAAGGAAGAGCTACTAAAATAAACCAAATCTAAATATAACCTAAATATAAACTAGGTAGATGTCTTAATATGTCAAAACAAACAAACAAACAAACAAACAAACAAACAACCTCTCTTCGATCTATAAAAACATGGTCTAGGGTAAAAAAGTTGACTCTGTATGTATCCTCATAAAGTATAGAATACATGACTTGTATATATTATTGTTTCATTTTATTTTCATGGAGAAATATTATTGGGGACTGAATAGTGTTAGGCTCTGTGTCCCCAACCAAATCTCATCTCAAATTGTAATCCCTATGGGTCAAGTGAGGGACTGGTTGGGAGGCGACTGGATCATGGGGTTTTTTTCACCCATGTCTCATTACAGTGAGTGTGTTTGTACAAGATCTGATGGTTTTATAAGTGTTTGACATTTTCTCCTACACATCCTTTTTCTCTCTCTTGTCACCTTGTGAAAAAATTACCTGCTGCCCCTTCCACCATCATTGTAAATTTCCTGAGACCTTCCCAGCCATGCATAATTGTGAATCAATTAAAATTATTTTCTTCATAAACTACCCAGTCTTGGATAGTGTCTTTATAGCAGTGTGAAGAATGAACTAATAAAGTAAATTGGTAGCAGTAGACGGAGGCACTGGTATAAAGATACCAAAATATGTGGAAGCAACTTTGGAATTGGCTGACAGGCAGTTGGAACAGTTTGGAGGGCTCAGAAGAACACAGAAAGATTTGGGAGTTTGGAATTTCCTGGAAATTTGTTTAATGATTTGGACCAAAATGCTGATCATGATACGGACAATGAAGTCCAGGTTGAGGTGGTCTCAGATGGAGATGAAAAACTCCTTGGGAACTGGAGCAAAGGCGACTTCTGTTATGCTTCAGCAAAGAGACTGGCAGCATTTTGCCCCTGACCTACAGATCTGTGGAACTTTAAACTTGAGAGAGATGATTTAGGGTATCTGGTGGAGGAAATTCCAAGCAGCAAAGCATTCAAGGGACGACAGATTGCAAAAGTTTGAAAAATTTCCAGGCTGATCATGAGATAGAAAAGAAAAACTCGTTTTCTGGGGAAAAATTCTAGCCTGCTGCAGACATTTATGTAAGTAAGGAGGAGCTGAATGTTAATTGCCAAGACAATGAAGAAATGTCTCTAGGGCATGTAGAAATATTTGCAGCAGTCCATCAGTCCCAGAGACCTAGGAGGAAAAACTAGTTTCCTGGGCCAGGCCCAGAGCCTCCACTGCTCTATGCAGCTTCAGGAGTTGGTGCCTGGCATCCAAGCAGCAGGGGTTAAAAAGGTCAAGGTATAGCTCAGGCTGTGGCATCACAGGGTGTAAGCCCTATCTTGTTGGATTTCGTGTGGTGTCGGACCTGCAGGTACACAGAAGACAAGAATTGAGGTTTGGAAACCTCTACCTAGATTTCAGAGGATGTATGTAAGCACGTGGATGTCCAGGCAGAAGTCTGTGAATACGGTAGGATAATGAAAGAAACTCTGTAGATGTGATTAAATTTACGATCTTGAGAGAGGAAGAGTAATTTGCATTATCCAGGTGGGCCAAATATAATTACAAGGACCCAGTGCAAACACAATCACAAAAAAGAGAAAGAGGAAGAGACAGGGGAAGAGATGTGATGAAGGAAGCAGCGGAGAGAGAGACTGGAGACAGAAAGAGAGAGAGAGATGAAAGGCTACACTGCAGGTCTTGAAGAAGTAGAAAAAAGATCACAAACCAAATAATACAGGCAGCCTCTAGAAGACAGAGAAGGCAAGAAAACAAATTCTATCTTCAAGTTTTCAGAAGGAATGAAACCCTATTAACACCTTGATTTTAGACTTTTGGCATCCAGAACTGTAAGAGAATAAATCTGTGTTGTTTTAAGCCATTAAGTTTTAGTAATTTGTTAACGTGGCAATAGGAAATGTATATAGACACTCAAAGGAACTTGGTGTTGGTTTAATGTGGAAGATGAAGGAGAGACGTGTCAAGAAAACGTCTTAGTGGCTAGTAAATACAGGTGGTATCTGTTTGAGGAACGGGAGACTAAAAGAGAAGCATTTTTTAACATGTGATCATGTTACCTGAGCTATACATGATATGACCAGTTTTGAAATCAAACACACTGCTGTCTTTGTGGGTATGGAACACAAAAGCAAAAAACTTCTGAGTATATTAAATTTGCTATCATTATTCCATAGATGGAATTTAAATTATGGCAATAAATTAGATTTATATTTTTTAATTTTTAAATATTTTTTGAGATGGAGTCTTGCTTTGTCTCCCAGCTTGGCTCACTGAAATCTCCACTTCCCAGCTTCCAGCAAGGGGTTCTTTTGCCTCGGCCTCCTGGGTAGCTGGGATTACAGATGCCTACCTTCACAACAGACTAATTTTTATATTTTTAGTAGAGGTGGGATTTTGTCATGTTGGCCAGGCTGGTCTTGAGCTCCTGACTTCAAGTGATCCACCCACCTTGGCCTGGCAAAGTGTTGGGATTACAGGCATGAGCCACTGTGCCTGGCCAATAAATGAGATTTCTTATGAAAGAAATCTGACGTGTGAAAGGAGGGCCATGACTGAACTCCAAGGCACTTTAGTCTTTACAAATTAGGTAGAGAAGACAGG